AAAATGGTGGGACATGAAATAAAATCAAGGAACTGTGTCAATGTAATAAACAACACCACAGGATAAACAAGCATTAAAGCAAAATTAAAGGCAGATAGTTCAAAGCACAGGTATTTACATGGGAAACTGGAGGTATTAAATGACCCCTAAAATAACACTGAAAAACAAAAAAAGAGCAATTCTGAAGTCTTTGAGCAAAAGCTCCATCCTTCCCTTTGTTGTGCTTAGATTCAGTAATGTATATAGTTCACACATCTGAAGAAGGTTTTCAGGATTCAACAGTCCAAACCTTTCTGGTTTGACAAATGTGACTATCAACTCTGGGCCTTGGGCTCTACAAGGTCTATGTCTGATCAGTGGATGGAAGGATGGTACTACATCAGAATGACATGTTCACTGCCTTGAGTTAATACATACATAGATAAAACAAAAATCTATGCACACGTATGTAACTATCCATACATCTTGCCCAGACGCAGCCCCAACTCAACAGAGCCCAAAGGCCCTCTGGAACATAACTATCTTAGATGCCTCCCTAAAGTCAGGAAGCAAAGGTATCCTGCTTACCCACAGAAAAACCCTTTGATTTAACCACTGCTATATAGACAGTCCTAGGAGAAGTTACCACCAGGAGAAGGTTGTCTGAGAAGCATATCTGGTTCACAGAAGTATACCAGGAGATGTAGTTCAAAAAGGTATGAGGGCCCTGGGCTGTGAAGGGCTTTAAGGATGATAACCAGCATTTTGAATTGGACCCAGAAGCAAAAAGATAACCGGTGTGGCTGACACAACACAGGAGTTAATATGTTCTGAGCAGCTGATGAAGGACAGGATTTTTGTCACTAAAACTGAAGCTTCCAAGACATCCTCAAAGGTAGCCCCATACAGAGAACATTACAGTAACCCAGTCTGGAGGTTATGGTAGATGGATCAGTATGGCTAGAGTGGCAGAGTCTGGGCGATTCTGCATCTAGCATTCGCTCCACATTTTCTCAACCGGGAGGAAAAGGTGCAGCTCAAAACCACATTCGAATACCTTGGGGCAACGCCGTACTGACTGCAAAGTCACCCCTGAACGGTCATAAATCTATGCAAAAGGTACCATAAAACCTGATGGTCAAAGAAAGCGAAAGCGGCACGCAGTGTCGAGGGTACCATAAAATCCAATGACCAGCAGCATGCAATGCAGAGGAGAATTTCTGTTCCAACGTGGGTTTTGTAAAACAACAGAGGGAAAAGCCAGTGCAGAATTGCCCGGAGTCAGCTTATGAGCTAGAGGTAGTTGAAAGAAGATACTCCTAGCAACAGCACCAACCTGTTTATCCAATGACAGGACTAGGTCCATGAGCACACCCCCCCCCCAATACAAGCTCTTAACTTGATCCACTAAAGAGAGCTTAACCCCATCAGCAACAGACATTATACTTTTCTGGTTGGATGGTCCATCAAACATCAGAAACTGCTTAAAACTGAAGCAGACCATTGGCCCAATAATGTCTACTCCAGCTGGCAGGAGCTCTCCAGGACCTTAGCCAGAGGTCTTGCACATAAGCAAGGGCTCCAGGGAGCTGTTGGCAGGGAAGTGACCGAAAAGTTCCAAGTGCACACACTAATTACTTCAGCCAAGGGATGCATGTAGAGCTTCAGGATCACAGCCAGAAACTGCAAAAGACAGCGTCCGCCCACGATGAATGCTAACCATTCATGATGATTGCTAACCAGACAGAACAAATCAAGAAAAAATAAGAATACTGTAGAAATATTGCAGCCTAGCTGTCAACGAAGACACACTGTACTGCAACTGAGTACACAGATGCACAAGTCTGGAGAGCAAGAGCAGCCATATTCTGGAAAATTTAGCAATAAGCATTCAGTCTGGGTCTGGCCACTGACAGTAATGGGATTTCTAGAAAAAAGGAAGTTGTAACAACCTCAGAATTAGAAAAGTCCTAAATGTGTTTTTCCTTAATTTTACTCTGCAACAAATCCAAGGAAGACAGACTGAATCACAACGAAGAGTACGGCATTACTGAATGCATCTCTCCGAAACATTATTACTCACATGCACAAACATATTCGCTAAACTCAGATGAACAATCAAACACTTAATTATGCTGAAAATGTAATGATACGGTCATGCCCACCTGACCTATCACTCCCCCCCCCCCTCTGTACTGTCACTCGGGTCCTTTGTAATCTACTGGTCTTTGCAGACACCTGTTGAAAACCTTGAAGCCTATGCAAATGAAATCACAAACCTAATTAGGCATGCAATTACTGGATTTTATTCCATGAAACACAAGGGCATCTGTGAAGTTAGCCCCACAATGAGTACAGCCATCAAAACAAGAGACCTATGCTACTGAGTTAAACAAGACTTGATAATGTACTCGAGGAGGGGGAAAAACATAACCGGAAATGTATCTGCATCAGATACTTACCACTGGTTAATTGCTCAATGAATCTCTCAAGGGAAAACATAAGACTCAGGGAACCAGACCAAGCACGAAAACCAACAAAACAAGTTCACACAGAATACCCAGGGCCGGGGGGGGGGGGGGGAGCAGCAGGGCCATTTGGCCTGGGCCTCACATTCTCGAGGGGCCTCAAATTTACACTTTTGACGTTAAATCACATGTTAAATAAAAATGGGAACATTTATTACAAAGTCTTACAACATTCTTTTTCTTATTGTATTAAATGTAAACATTTAAAATACAATACTACTAATTTTGTATAATTGTTTTCACACGTCTTCATTTTTTAATTGACTGGGGACCCCCTCAAAAATGGAAGTGGCCCAGGCCTCTCTTGACCTCTGTGAGGGCCTAAGAATACCCACATTTATCTGAAACCCTCTTCACACAACTTACACACACACACCCCACATAGTGTGATCCCACCCCACTGAGAAATGTACATGATTATTCTAACCACATGGTCTTCAATTTCTACACATGGATTTTTTCTTATGCTGTTAATAACTATTACTTTCAAAATTTATAGATATTGGATAGTTATGGAAAAGTGTCCATAAAGTAACATCTGAGTATGAAATAAAACAACAAACTACATAAGACACTAAGTTGTATGTAGCTTTTCCATAAGTTTTTTCCCTTTCTTTTTTTTGACAAAATGCAGTAAAAGACTGGTGAGAAATGCCTCTTAAATGGCTCTTCCTGCAACGGTTTGGAGCAAGACTTCTTAGGCTGGAGGAAGCCTTCAAACCTTGTGTAGTTCTATCACAGCATAAAAGTCTATGCTGGGTGTAAACTATTTCCATCCCAGCTTCCATGCCACCAGCAGCTAGGAAAACAGACAAGCACTAGAGGTCACTTCTAGATAAGCAGATAACAGCTATGGCAGGAGTGCCTTTTACCAGCTTTGACTGGTTAGCCAGCTTTCCCAGGCAGAAAAGGTTTTTGCCACTGTAGTGCCTGCCCTGGTTACACCTAGATTAGATTACTATAGTGCACTGAGGTTGCCCTTGAATAGTATTTGGAAACTTCAATTGGTGCAGAATGCTGCAGCCAGGGTTCTGACTGGAGTGACTCACAGAGACCATATCAGTCCAGTTTTGGCACCTCTACTCTGGCTCCCAATCTGTTTCCGGGCACAATTCAAGATGCTGGTTCTGACCTCTGAAGCCCTATACAGCTTGAGACCAGCATGCTATATGCCTGAAGGTTTGCCTACTCCTTTATGAACCTACTAGCCAACCACTACGAGCCCTGCTTCCAAGTGCCCTCTGCTGAAATTAGACAGGTGGCAACCCAAGAGAGGGCCTTCTCCTTCATAGCACCAAAACTCTAAACTCTCTCACCAGGGAGACTTGCCCGTCCCCTTCTCTTGCTGTCTTCCACTAGCGGATAAACCTCTTTTTTGTTTTGTCTGGTGTTCCCTTGGTGATCCCTCCTTCCTGCTCTATGCTTTAATTGCTTTTTAGTGTTTTTAATGCATATTTTAGCTTTGGTTTCAGCTGCTTTAATGATGTGCTTTTGATTGGTTTTAATGGTTTTTAAGACATGTTTTTAGTATCTATCTTTTTAACCCCTTAGCCGCCTTGGTGGCCTGTGAAAAGGAAAAAAGGAGGGGTATAAATTTGGTAAACAAATAAATAAAATAACTAATAGAGTAGCTCTCACCTTTCTCCCAGGTACCCTGGGGGAGGGGGTTCTTGGAACGCCTCCTCCCCTGCCTTAGACCCAGGGACTTTAGCATGGCTCTGGGAAGCAAGAACAGGCCCAAACCACGCTCTTTACATCCTCCTGCTCAGCTGAAGGCAGGGAACTAGCTCAGCTTCTGCCCCATGCTGGTGCTGACATTAGCTTATGGCTCCCTAGGTTGCCACTTGGATTGCAGATGCTGCGTTGAGCAGAGGCAGTGCAACTCTGTCCCAGGAACAGCTCAAGAAATGTCTGCCATCCCAAGGGCTCTCCTCACGTGCTGTCTGACAGAAGCAGCCATTTTACCACCAAGCCAGGCAGCAGATGGTGCGAGGCATGCGCCTTGCCCTGTACTGCCCAGCCAGTTTAGCATTCCAAGAAGCTGCTCGTCTTGTTTGGGCATCAAACTGGTCCTGTCCTTTACCTTCTACGGGTATCCACTACCAAAAAAGAAAGAATAATAATCTTTTCTCTGTGAGGGAAAAGTAACCATGCATGTATGATTTTCAGTGAGGGGGGGAAACAGCGGGGGGGGGGATCTTCTGGCAGACTGCAGCTCCTGCAGCCACATTCTGGAAGAAGAGAAACGCTACTTGCAACTGAGCATGACATGTAGTTTGGTCCTCAAAATATCAGGAAATCAATGGCACAGACTGATTGCGTAGACAATAAGCAATCTGCAATTTGATCACTGAGGGGGGGGGAATCTGTCACAGAGCAGCACAGTCACCACATCCAAGTTCCTTCACTGTACATTTATGAACTGTCTCTGAAGGGTCTCTTTTACATATTTTATAAGGATTTGAAAACCGATGTTAAATCGGGTAGACAGACCTATCTCGTTAAAGCCACTGTAGCCAAGCTCTTGCCTGCCCAAGCCCAGTTCCTCGAGATCCACGCATTTAAATCCTGGTGGGCATTGGTAACCTTCTTCTAACTTTGAACAGTGAGTGTCAGGGATTGCTAAATTATTCCAGGTTATATTTCTGTTGGAATAAAAAAAGAGAGAAGCAGTTAGACCAATTCAGCATAGACAATGGTTAAGGCATTTAGGTTACAGCTCGGCATTAAAATTACATGCATGTAACTTCTACTAGAGAAGGCAACTCGGGCCATGTAACAAAAAAAAGAAAGAAAGAAAGAATAATCTTTCCCAGAATTCAGCAGGGAAGCAAAAATAAGAGCTACTAAGAGCTAAGAATTTGCCAGGAAGAAATGTAATGTGAACAAAATCTTACAAGGACATTCCCAGAGATAGCTTTGAGCTGACCTATTTTCTGTTCACATCACATTCTTTGACAGGATGTGGGGAGGGAAGGAGAAGGACATTTCCAGTCAGTCATTCTGGAGAAGTCTTATTACATTATCTGTTCAAAATAAGGGGAGCCAGAGGAACCAGTGCTATTACTGAAGGTGCAATCCTGACATCAGTCACACATGGACAAGTCCCATCGATTCAAATGAAGTTTCTACATGAGGAGTTGGACTGAAGCCCGAATTACTATAACCAGGGAAACCCCCCCCCCAATAATGAATCTATTAGTATTGATTAGTGAGGCACTGAAGGGGAAAAAATTAAAATAGAAAAATTACCAGCTTAAAACTTCATCTCTGTGCAATACCTCTACCTGCACAGAACATATTTAAAGAGCTAAAAATAACTCTTTAACTAAGCTGCATAATAATATGTGCCAGTGTGATATTCATCATAGGTTAGAAGACAAAGAAGTGGCTTTCTTGCACTCACACGCACACAAAGAATCAGTACTAAAACAAACAGAAATTTCTAGAGCATGAACGCGCCTTCCCTGTCCCTATACCACTCAGTTCAAGGGACATAATCAGTGCTATTCCTCTTTCAGTTCCTTCATGATGTTTGTTGTTGTTGTTCAGTCATACAGTCGAGTCCGACTCTTCGCGACCCCATGGACCAGATCACGCCAGGCCTTCCTGTCTTCCGCCGTCCTCTGAAGTTTGCTCAACTTCATGTTCGTTGCATCTATGACACTGTCCAACCATCTCATCCTTTGCCGTCCCCGTCTTCTTTGACCTTCAATCTTTCCCAGCATCAAGGTCTTCTCCAGTGAGTGCTCCCTTCTCATTTGGTGGCCAAAGTATTTGAGCTTCAGTTTCATTATCTGGCCTTCCAGGGAACAGTCAGGGTTGATTTCTTTTAGGATTGACTGATTTGATCTTCTTGCAGTCCAAGGGACTCTCAAGAGTCTTTTCCAGCACCATAGTTCAAAAGAATCTATTCTTCGGCGCTCGGCCTTCCTTATAGTCCATCTCTCGCAGTCATACATGACTACTGGGAATACCATTGCTTTGACCATGCGGACTTTTGTTGGCAGGGTGATGTTGAGCTTCAAGCCCACTTTTGCGCTCTCCTCTTTTACCCTGAGCAAGAGGCTCTTAAAATCCTCTTCACTTTCTGCCATTAGAGTGGTATCGTCTGCATACGTTGATCTTTTCCCCAGCAATCTTAATTCCGGCTTGTGATTCAACATGTGAGGTGGTCTGGTACTCCCATCTCTTTAAGGACCTGCCATAGTTTGTTGTGATCCACACAGTCAAAGGCTTTAGCATAGTCAATGAAGCAGAAGTAGATGTTTTTCTGGTACTCTCTTGCTTTCTCCATAATCCAGCGAATGTTGGCAATATGATCTCTCGTTCCTCTACCTCTTCGAAACCCAGCTTGTACTTCTGGCAGTTCTCTATCCATGTACTGTTGAAGCCTAGCTTGTAGGATCTTGAGCATGACCTTGCTAGCGTGTGATATGAGTGCAATTGTGCGATAGTTTGAACATTCCTTGGCATTGCCCTTCTTTGGGATTGGAATGTATACTGACCTTTTCCAATCCTGTGGCCACTGTTGCGTTTTCCAAATTTGCTGGCAAATTGAGTGCAGCACTTTAACAGCATCATTTTTTAAGACTTTGAATAGCTCAGCTGGAATACCATCACCTCCACTAGCTTTGTTGTTAGTAATGCTTTCTAAGGCCCATTTAACTTCACATTCCAGGATGTCTGGCTCAAGGTCAGTGATTATACCGTCGTGTTTGTCAAGGACATTGAGGTCTTTCTTGTATAGTTCTTCTGTGTATTCTTGCCATCTTTTCCTAATCTCTTCTGCTTCTGTTAGGTCCCTACCGTTTTTGTCCTTTATCATGGCCAGCTTGGCATGGAACACTCCCTTTATTTCTCCAATTTTCTTGAAGAGATCTCTAGTCCTTCCCATTCTATTGTTTTCCTCTATTACTTTGCATTGTTCATTCAGGAAGGCCTCCTTATCTTTCCTTGCTGTTCTCTGGAAATCTGCATTCAGTTGGGTAAATCTTTCCTTTTCGACTTTGCCTTTTGCTTTCCTTCTTTCCTCTGCTATTTGTAAAGCCTCATCAGACAGCCACTTTGCTTTCTTGCATTTCTTTTTCTTTGGGATAGTGGTGATTGCTGCCTCCAGTACAATGTCACGAACCTCCGTCCATAGTTCTTCAGGACCTCTATCTATCAAATCTAGACCCTTGAATCTATTCTTCACCTCTACTGTATATTCATCAGGGATGCGATCTAAGTCAAACCTGAATGGCCTAGTGGTTTTCCCAATTTTCTTCAGTTTAAGTCTGAATTTTGCAATGAGTAACTCATGATCAGGCACAAAAGCTAATAGTAGGGAAGGCAAGTAGATTGTGTGACTACACAGAGTAACACTTAAAGAAGAATGTTCAGATGTAATTATAAGTCTGTCTTTTACTTTGTGGCGTCTCACAACCAAGAGACTGCAGAAGTCTTAAATGGTGAAAGGGGGCGAAGCTGCACACCAGTTTCTTTCTTTTTTCCTCCAAAAGATGTATGTCTAAGGTGCAGGGCTCCAACAAGTATCTGCGAGGAAGACCTCAATGCCGCCTCAGCAGTTATGGAGACTCCTCAATAACTCCTCCTCTACAAACAATAATTTATCTTCTATACACTTTGTAGATAAACAATAGAATGTGAATATTCAATGAGCAATGCTGGTTCGTTTTACTTTACTTTTCAGAGCTCCTATGATCAAATGATCTTGAGCAATGACTAAAAAGAATATTATTATTTACTAAAGGAAAATATGCTAGACAGAAATGTAGCTACCAAGTAGGTTGTGTTTGGGTCATAGTCTAGTAACAAGTAAGGTACATTATCCCCTTGACGTTTATTAGACGAGAAATGTATTAAAAGTGGTGAGATCCAGAGGTTTCTAAAAACAGAAAAAAACAACATTCCAATATATTGTGAGACACAGTGTCAATTTTACCCTGAACATAAGAGCAGAGATTATCTGAATATGATGGAACCTGCCCTGCAATACTTCAGAGGGGATGGATTCAGGCAGGCTAAATCAAATGACTTAACATGGTGGGGGACTGTTAGGTATCTCATGTATAACGGCAGAGTCCAAAGTGGTAAAATACCAAAAAGCTGACTCTGCAAGAGCGAATCATCATGCTGTTATAATCCAGCCCTGTAAGGTGATGCTGGACAAGTGAAAATGTCTTTGCCTTACCTAACAAGAAGATATCTTTAGTTATAAGCTCTAGGTGCCTTAATCTAGCATCTACTGTCTTCATCCATTGAGATTGTTTAAGAAATAATAGCAGACCTTTAGCTTCTGAAGCAAAAATGATCCTTAGTCTTAGCTTAAAAGTACTGAGCCATGCTTGGGTTTCCAATGACTTTCGGCTAAGGTCTGAGGGATATATCTGAGATGCAACGAGGATTATCCTCTATACGAACTGACACAGGGGATGATCAAAAGATTCTGAGATTGCTGAAATCCTGGTAGCAACACCATAAGGTAACTGGGGTATTACTTTGGTGTTGAATACCTGGATTGCAGTAAGGATATATTTTTCTCCCCTTGTAAAGAAGAAGCGTGCTATTGCTCTGGAAGCAGGCTTAATTTTATTAAAAGCAAAATTTTATTAAAAGCAAACCTGGAAAGGTTTGAAGAAAAAACAATCCTCAGGGAGCAGAAATTCCATGTTCAATGTCTGAGTTTGTCATAGTCCATTTGGAAAGACCCAGGTTGCCATTTTTAGAGCAAACCAAGGTTTTAGATTAGTTATAGATTATTTGCAAAGTGTTCTGTCTTTTAAAATATCGACAGAGTGGGGTGGATAAGATTAGGACATCAAGCATATGCAGAGCATAGTCATCAGAAGGCTGGTAAAACTATGAAATGTTGGAAGTACCTTCTGCCAAAATTCCAAACTGGGCTGCAGGAGTACTTTGCTTTTATGAACTTTGAGGAAGAGTGGATCACACCATGAGTGTACCAAATTCACATTCCCAAAGGAGAGAGCAGTACTCAAAAATGCCAGTTTAAATGAAAGAAGGTCCAAAGAACATAATGGTTCAAATATTTTACTCGCTAGTAGGGAAGAGGATCTATTAAAGAGATAGATCCTGAAGGAATGGGCGAAATAACACTTTGAGAAATCTCTTCATGCCCTGACCTGGATAGCGCTGGCAAGTGCGATCTTGTCAGATCTCGGAAGCTAAGCAGGGTCGACTCTGGCAAGTACTTGGAAAGGAGACCTCTTTGGAATATCAGCAGTCAGGAGGTGAGGGCAGGCTTTATTCAGCCACCTCTCTGAATATCCCTCCAGGCCTCCAGTAGGGGTCAGTCACCAGAGGTCACCATGACTTCCAGGTGCGCGCACACTCACACGCACATACCAACTTGGAAAATAAATTTTATTAAAAAAAAAAAAAAAATACCAAAAAAGAGAGATATCTTTTCATAAGCAGCTTGAAAAGACATTTGTTTTGTCCTATATTCTCTTCAAGTGGCAAGAAACCAGTTGAGTAACTGGTGCCTGCTTCTCTTCCCTAAATATCCCTTCCTTAATTTCACCTTTTCAGATGGAGAGCAAAATTTTTACACCAGAATGTACAGCCTTTCTATCAGAATCCCTAGGTGGGGAGGTATAGCATATCAATTATTTCTTTG